GGCCCTCATAAAATGTTGGAAAGAATTTCCTCTGATATTTGCTGAAAGAGATTGTGTAAACATGGTGTTATTTCTTCTTTGGTGAAACTCACCAATGAAGTCATCTCTGACTGGATTCAATTCCATCAATACTTCTAGGTCTCTACTAGTTGTTCAATTTATCTTGAGTGAGTTTTAGTAGTTAGTGGTTCTCAAGGAATTAGTCTGTTTCATCTACGTTGGAGAACTGACGTGTGTAGAGTTGTTTGTGGTATGCCATTATTATCCTATTGATGTCTGTAGGGTCTGTAGTGATACTTCAGCTTTCACTCCTCATATTGGTAATATTTCTCTTCTCTCTAACAGTTTTGCTAGAGATTTATCTATTTTATTGTTCTTTTATAAATATTTTGTTTTTATAGATCTCTGCCTTTAATTGATTTCTCTTCTTATCTTTATTATTTCCTTCCTTCTGCTATTTTGAATTATTTTTTCTTCTTTTTCTAATTTCTTATGGTAAAAGCTTAAATCATTGAGTTGAGACCTTTTTCTTTCATAACACAAGCATTTAATACTATTACTATCTCTCCAAGCACTGATATAACTGCCTCCCACCATATTTGATATGTTGTATTTTCCTTTACATTCAGATCAATGTATTTTATAATGTCTGTTGAGACCTCCTTGATTCATTTAATATTTAGCAGCTTGGTGTATAATTTCTAAGTGTTTGAAGACTTTCTCACTCTCTTTTTTCTTTGTTTCTAGTTTAGTTCATTTATGTCAGGGAATGTATTTTTGTATGATTTATTTGATATGTGCTCAAGTTTGTTTTGTAACACAGAATATGGTGTATCCATGTGCATTTTAAAAGAATGTGTATTTTACTGTTGGTAGGGTGTTCCATAAATGTCAATTAAATTCAGTTGCTTTGTGGTGATATTAGGTTTTATGTACACTTTGCTTGTTCCCCCCCCCCCCATTAGTTCCAAAGATTAATGAGAAAGGAGTATTGGAATCTCTAATTATAATTATGATTTTGCCTACTTCCCCTTTCCATCCTGTCAGTTGTTGCTTTACATATTTTGAAGCTCATTAAGATTCTTACGTCTTTTTTTATTTTTTTTTATTTTCAGCATAACAGTATTCATTGTTTTTGTACCTTCTTAATCGCTTTTTGTATCTATTAATTTTCTATGCTTTCAAGCAAAAACTTTAATACAGAAACTCCAGCTTTCTTTCAATTAGTGTTTGTGTAATGTATCTTTCCCTGTCCCTCTTTTTAAACTTGTGATATCATTATATTTGAAGTGAGTTTCTTGTACAAAGTACATAATTGAGTCATAACCATCTGTCCTTTAACTGGTTTGTTTAGACCATTCATATTAAATATAAATGTTGACAAGTTTAATTTAGTTTTATCATTTTATTATTTTTTCCTGTTTCTTAGGCTTTTTTGTTCTTTTCTGTCTCCTTTGGGGTTAAACATTTCTTAGTATTCTACTTTCGTTTGTCCGTAGTAGTTCCTTGGCTGGTTACTTCAGGAGTGACAATATATACACTTGCCTTTTCAGAGTCTGCTCAGAATCTGCATTTTAACCACTGGGACTCATATGTCAAAACCTCGCCAACAATTCTGTCGGTTTTCCGAGTGCCCTTTATTTATCGCTGCCAAATGTATTCCATCTGTACAAAGTAAGAGCTCTTTGAAATAATGTTGTATTTTTTGCTTTTAGCCACAAGTACATTTAAAGTAACTCAACAGGAGAATAGGCTATTATATGTACCCCAATATTTACCATTTCTCATGCTGATTTTATACCCCCGAGGTCCCAGATTTCCTTCTGGTATCTTTTTCCTTCTGTCTGAGTTTTCCTTTAGAAAGTCTTTTAAAGTATCTCCTGGTAAGGAATGCTTTTAGCTTTTCTTCGTCTGAGAATTTCTTTATCTTCATCCCTGAAGGAGGTTTTTGCTGAATATGGAATTCCAGATTGACAAGTCTTTACTTTTAGCCCTTGAGAAATGTTTTGCCACTTCCTTCCTGGCTTCCGTATTTCTAATCAGAAAATCACAGCCATATGAGTAGGTGTTCACCTGCAGATGATGCATTACTCTTCTCTCTGGTTGATTTTAAAACATTCTGCATTGCCTTTGTTTTCAGCAGTTTGATAATGGTGTGTCTGGAGGTGAATTTGAGTTTATCCTGTTTCAAGTTCATTCAACTTCTCAAGTCTGTTTTTTGACAAACTTGGAGAATTTTCAGCCTTATTTTTTTTTCCAATTTTTTTTTTCATCACCACACTATTCTGTCTGCTTCTGGATGTTCAATTACATGAATATTAGATCTTTTGTTGTTGACTCAGAGTTCCCTGAGGCCCTGTTCATTTTTAGATTTTTTTCTTTCTTTTGATCAGATGAGTCATTCCCATCATTAAGGTCACTGACTGTCTCATCTCAGATCCACTATTTGGTCCACCCAGGACATCGTTTTGTTTTTTGTTTTTTGTTTTTTATTTTATTTTTTATAATCTTTTTTTAAATTTATTTTCAGCATAACAGTATTCATTGTTTTTGTACCACACCCAGTGCTCCACGCAATCCATGCCCTCTCCAATACCCACCACCTGGTTCCTCCAACCTCCCACCCCCCCACCTCTTCAAACCCTTCAGATTGTTTTTCAGAGTCCATAGTCTCTCATTGTTCACCTCCCCTTCCAATTTCCTCCAACTGCCTTCTCCTAACTCCCCATGTCCTCCATGCTATTTGTTATGCTCCACAAATAAGTGAAACCATATGATAATTGACTCTCTCTGCTTGACTTATTTCACCCAGGACATCTTTTATTTCAGTTTCATATTTTTCAGTTCTAGAGTTTTCATTTAGATCTTTGGATATCCTATTTCTTTGGTGAATTGTTCTTTTTCTATTTGCTACAAAAGTGTTTATGATCACTTGTTAGAGTTCTTATGTAATAGCTGTTTTAAACTCTATCAATTTGTTCTAACCACTGTGTCACAATTGCATTAGTATCTGTTGACTACATTTTCCTAAGCCAGCTTAGATTTTTCTGATTCTTTGTGCTAAGTAATTTTGGATGACTTCCTGGATATTTTAAATATTATATTAATAAATTCTGGGCTTTGTTTAAATGTTGTGGAGCATGTTGATTACATATGTATATGAATATATACGTGTATATACATATATACACATATATACAAATTTTATTTTTTGTTTTTAATTTATTTAGGTTTTTTTGCAGGCACTTGGCCTAGTTAGGATCTGGCCACACATTGCAACCTGCCTTCTGTGGGCTGTCTCTAATGCCAGCCCAGTTTCCAAAGCCTTTGCAGCACGACCCAACTCTGTCTCACTCGTGCACAACCCAGTGGCCAGCCTGGGTCTTGGGTTGTCGACTCTCCATTCAGTTCTCAACTTCTTGGGTCTACAGTTAGGACCAGATCCATGCATGTGTGGCTCCAAGGTGAGCCTCGGACTTCATGAACAACATATAGTATGCTTTCCTGAATGGCCGCCTCCTTCTGCTCTTCCAGGTACTTTCTGGTCCCCTGGTCTCCCTTGTCAGTCACGGAACTGGAAAACAGGCTCTACCGAGACTGCTCTGTAACGCTGTCCTATGCAACTGTACCTGGTCCGTTGCCAAGCGATGGGTGAGTGGAGGAAGAAAACAAAACTAAGAGGAGTCTTCCCACCATCTCTGAGCCACAGCCGCCCTCTGCAGGGCAGAAGTCCCCATTCTGAAGTCCTGGCTCTTGTGCGCTCCCTGGGAAGCTCCTGCTGCTATCGTCATGGGTCTGCCTGGAGAGAAAAAGAGGGAAATGGGATTCCTGCATCCCCTGAGAGTTAGGACCTTTCTGTTCCGGCCTCTAGCCAGGGCTCAAGGGCTTCTCCTGGAACCTCTCTGTCCATGACCCAGTGCCCATGTCTGGGTTGACCAACAGATGCTGGAGGGAAAAGTAAATGATGCCTCCCGGTTTCTCCTCCTTGCCGCTGCTGGCTTCCTAGAGCCCTCAGATGACTGTTTCAGGCTGCCCAGGTTTCATAGAGCACTCGTGGGAGACATGGGGTGGGCGTGCTTAGTTCGTCCTATCTGGACACAGAGTGTGGTCTGCAGTCTAAGGTCATGAGTGGGAAGAACAATTCTTCGTACTGTCATCCGTCAAGGCATGTTCATGTGTTCTTTACACCGTGACTATCCACCTCTCAATAGTTTTGTCATCTGAAGTAGGAAACTTCCTTTTCTTCAATGGCAAGGCTCAGAAATGCCAGGATTTCTCCACATGGCAGCATCTCCTATGCGGCCCCAGGAAGGGTTGGCCATCGCAGCCCTGGTAGACATTGAATTTTGGCCTCTGCTCTGATACAAGGGCCACTGGAGAGTCTGGGCCAGAGGACTGACGTGCCCTGAATTTTCCCTCTGGCCATTCTGTGGCGTCTCCGCTAAGTGGGCAGAAGCAGCTGCAAGCAGGCCAGTCAAGCCACTGGGAGGGGGCGCTGGATCCAGTTTTGAAATTCAAAGCAATACGATTTGTATTTGTGGATGAGTCCGATGTGTGTTAAGAGAGGGAAGAAGTTATGAGTGGCTGTTACGTTCTCTGTCTAAGCGAAAGGAAGCATGGAGTTGCCGTGCCCTGAGTTGGGGAAGGTTGTCATGGAAACACTTTTTTTCCTTCTTTTGGACAAACTGTTCTGAAATGCCTGTCAAGGCAGAGAGGTACAGCCTAAGCAGCTGGGTGGCATGGGGGAAGTGCAGGGAGACGGCCTGGGGTACAGCGATGGCAGAATCATTGACCTCAATGTGGGATTTAAAGCCACAAGCCTGTTGGGAACAGCTCACCACTGGAGAGCAGAGAGAGGGAGGGCTGAGGACACAGGCCGGGAGCACCACAACAGGATAATGCCACTGGCACGGGGAAGGAAGGAGGGAAAACCCAGACTTTTGTGGGTAAGCTGGCAGCTGAACAAAGACATGAATCAGAGTGAGGACAGGAGGTGAAGGTCAGGTCCGAAGCTGTCCGATGCCACCTGAGAGCAGAGTGTGGGTTTAGCCCGCTTGAGGTCTCACTGATGCCTGGAAAAGGCAGTTTTTAGGGAGTGATAAAGGAGAAGGCCGGAAGAGAACATATTCAAGACGGATTAGAAGGAAGTAAATTAAGGTAGAGTAGATCCACTTTATTTCACTTAGTTTGGGAGAGGGAAGTCCAGAGAAATCCACTTAGTTTAGGAGATGGAAGTCCAGAGAAATCCACAGGGAAGTCCGGAGGGGTGAGGACAGTTAGGACCACTGAGGTTTGCAAACTGTCAGACGGTAACAACGAACAGGCACGTGATGGCTTCCGTCACCCCGTTTCTCAGTATCTTACCAGTTTTAGGCATCTCGGCACTCAGCCAATACTTACTCCAATTAATTAATTATCAAATCACTGGATTTTGCTGACTGGGTGATCAGTGTTTCAGATCATCCCACCGACATTCACAGCAATAATCCGACTCAAATACTACACAGTGGACACATACTCTGAAGGTAATACAATACTCCTCATTTTTTTCTCAAGCAGAACACCAATATACACTTCTTTTGTAAGTTAACACATTCCTAATGAGATGCAGAGTATTAGCATAGACGGTGTTTTTACGGACTCAGGCAGCTACATGTCTCCTCAAACACTGACGTGCATTTCCAGGGGTCAAGGCAGTTCCTCTTGCCTCTACTTACTGTCCCCCGAGCAGAGCAGAGGCCCCAGCTCATAAGCTGCTTCTGAATGTGGTCGGCCTGTGTCTCTCATCGCAACCTGAGTGACTGGCAGGTGCTCCTTGTGGGAAAGGACTACTGTGTCGCTGGTCCTACAAAACAAATACGACCACCTTAGTGTTATTCTGAATGACATCCAGAGAAGGAGCAAATAGTCTCTTACTGCAGCACAAGATGTGATAAGCTAAATTTGTAAATACGTAACAATAAGGAAATCAAAGGGCTCATCTGAACTCTAACACAGTAACGTACTTAATAAGGTCATCCGAGGATCAGAGCTCCTTGTCCATCTGCGTTACCACAGAGATAACAGCAGGCAGGGCTGAAATCACAACTGTCACTGAGAGCACGAGATTATATTTCCCTGCAATGAAGCAGTTTGCTGCCCTTTCCCATCTAGCTGCCTTGTGAGATTTAAATGCAAAACTTACACATGCAAGATCTGCCTGGCTTCATTAAAAAAACAAGAACAAACCACCCAACTGAATAGATTTAGGTTTTCAATTCCCAGATATTTCTTTTTTAACTCAATTTTCTAAAATTCCTATCGTGGTTACTAAGCATTTCCTTACGTATTGATGCCATCCATTAAAAAAGAAAGAAAGAAGGAGGAGGTTGATTAAACCAAACTGAAGGTATGATACAATGTGCTCTTAAAATTAATGCATGGGGTAATGCGGGGGAAGAGCTCGTCGTGACGGTCACTATCCGTTCATTCAGCCAACATTTGGTGCACAGAGACTCCTTGCCAGGTCCTGCGTGTCGGGGTCGTGGGCATAAGACCCACCATCAGTGTCCCCAAGGAATCTAGTGGATATTATAAACAACAACGAAAATATAATTGTAATATAATAAAATCACGTAAGTGAATATTTGGGACTGAATATCTATGGTTCCAATGTAGCAAACACCGGACTAGAGCCAGCGGTCCTGGTAGGAAGCTAGCTGTGCCACCAGCCACCGCTCTGGGCAAGGAAAGAAGGTTCTTCTGCACCTTGTGAGCTGCTCATGTTTTTACGACCTGCTTCAATTACGTATGTACTTTGGATTTAGGACAGATAATAGTTTGTCTAATGCATCCTTCAGGTGCCCTGCATCTGTATAGAACCTAGGAAGTTTCAGTCTCGAGCAGTTATAAAGCCCCCACTTGCTCTGATGTATACAAACGGAAGCATCTGACACTGACATTTTTGCAAGTCAAAACAACCAGCAGTTTCGAATGGTTCAGCCTAATAGCTTTGCTTCAAAAAGGCCCTGCATCACTTAATAGTTAATCATTCCAATTCTGTTGAAGCATCAAGAATATTCTTTTGAGGTAGGAAGTTTAAAATTATTAGCATTTTTATTTTGCTTTGAAAATGTAACAAAGTGACTGCTGGAGCAAATTGGCAAGATATCAAAACTTTGAACTAAATATCCTGAAGTTCAGAAACAATTTTTTTGGAATCAGATGGTTTCCAAAAATCAGACAGTACAAAACCCCAGGGCTTTATCTGGGTGAGGCCCTACGATTTCTGCGTGTGGAAGCGCACAGGCAGGTCGTCCCGAACACGGAACACCTGGTTTGTTGGGACCGGGACAGGTGGTCAGTGACAAGCCAGAAGGTGGCGTGGATCGTGGGGGGAGTCAGTCTGAAAAATGCTTGTTATAAATGTGGGGCTAACACAGCAAAATTAATTCCTGGTGTTAAGTATCAGGAAATGTTACAAATAAGCATTTTCATTCCTGTCATTGCTGAACCGAGGTAGAACATCTAGAGGGAAAATGCAAGGGCATTAGTTATTCATTGAGTAACCCTGAATTTTAAAGAACCATTTAAAAGCTACATTTATAATGTGGTGGAAAGCTACACTTTGTTTTTAGCAATGACAAAGCACAGAGTGCCCTGCAAAAAAACCTAAGGAAAATCATAATGGGCAATCGTGTGTGTTAAGGCAGATATCATAGTAAGTTCTTTTTTCATTCTATTGTTTGCAAAGTAGCTTCCTGAGCCTGAGGAAATTTTAAACAGCTCAGAACTGAGAATTCTTTCTCAGCACAGGTCATTCCCAAATGCCCACGCTTCCCGTAGGACGAGATTCATTGCCAGGGTCACCAGACTCATTCGAAATCGCCGAATTTAGTTACATCTCAGGGTTTTTCTTGCCTCTCCATGTTTCTCTCTTTTCCCCAAAGGCCGGAGTGTTGCTCTCTTGGCAAGACGACTCTCACGGTAGGTTCCGAGCACTCAGTGAGGGGACTTCCAAGGCCACTTCCTCTTGGTCTTCCGTTCCCGGCGCTCTAGACGCTTCTGGCGCTGGCTGTCTTGCAGAACACCTTTTCGCCGGTGCAACACAGCCACCGCGACTCCTGAGTTCTGGGAAAGGCTGCAGGCAACAAACACCGGGTCGGCTTTCACGTTCCCTAATTCTTCCAGAGAAAGCGAGCCCGGGGACCACAGAACGATCACGGTCCGGAGCCCCCTGCTTTGAAAGCTCCCGGGCCCTCTCTTTAGCTGTTCCCTTCTCTGATCCCGTCGGCAAACGCCCTTCTTTCGGAGCCTGCGGTCCCCTGACGCTCCAAGTCCTGGGGGGCCAGTCTCCCGTCCTTGCTTCCACCTTCAGGACCGTCATTGACCACTGCTTTCCCACGCGCATCTTCCCAGCGCCTCGCCGTCCCAAACACTCAGCAAATGACTGGCGTTGGAATTAAGTGGATCAAGAAAATGCGGATTTTTCCCACTCACGGCAGTCGTGTGATATCTCCATTTAGGTACATCTTCTTATAACCTCATGTAAAACATAAAAGTTCTGCATATTTCTGTTATCTTTATTGCAGCATCTACAGTCTTCATGCTGATTTTGCAGTAGTTTTCATGATATTTTCTTACGGTAAGCTCTTTGTAGGAATTCAGTTATTCTAAGATTCAGTGGGTAGCCCTACTAAATTCTCATTAATTTCAATAATATTTCTGTCTATCCTCTTGGGTTTTCCTGGTAGGCAACCATATTTCCTATGAAAAATGTCATCTTCATTTCCTTGTTTCTAATCATCTGTGGCTTTGAAATGCCTCCTGTACTTTTGTCCCTCTGCTATTCATTTCTAACCTAAATGTCCTGTAATCAGAGAAATTGTCCAAACCATAACAACTACTGTAAAATTTTTTGGGTTTTGCTTTATGAACCATTAGGAAAATCATTTTGCAAAAATGTGCCGTGTGTGCTTGATAAGATTATATATTCTATAATTTTCAGGGCCTACCAAATCAAGCCATTGATTTCATATAAAAATATTCCATATCCTTAATAATTGTCATCCACATGATTTCCAGTTGCTAACAGATGTATGTCTAAACCTCTCCTTACAATGGTTGATTTGTATATTCCTTCTTTCAAATCAGACAATTATTTTCTATATACATTTTGAGTCATTTTTGTTAGAAACATATGAGTTTAGGATTATTAGGGGTTTTTTGGTGAAATTAAAAAGCATCATGAAATGGTGATATTAATCGTTCTATATTAAGACTTCAAAATTTGGGGGCACCTGGGTGGCTCAGATGGTTAAACATCTGACTTTGGCTCAGGTCATGCATGATTTCAGGGTCCTCTGATGAGCCCCAAGTCACTGGGCTCCCCACTCAGCAGGGAGTCTGCCTCTCCCTCTGCCCTTCCCCACACTTATGGGCATAGGCACCCTTTCTCCCTATCAAATAAATAAAATCTTAAAAAAAAAAAAAAGACTTTTAAACTTAAATTACTTCTGTGCACATTTGCTTGGTAAGTTGTTTTAGGATTTTGCTTTCAACATTTCTAGGTGTACAAACAAGATATACTTATTTTTAATTCAAAATGACCTATCTGCATTTAAATGGCTATTTTTTCACATTTATTGTGCCTCATTACTCGTAATATTCTCATGTTATTTTGTTGCTCTTTGTTTCCTCTTCCTTTTTAACTTTTATTTCCTACCTTCTTTTGAATTAACTTTTCTTAAAATCCCATTTTTCCTTCCTTCCCTCTTTGGATTTGAATGTTACACTGTTTCTATTCTTCAGTGCTTACACTTGAAATCTTAATGCGTGCACTATGAGCTGTTTAATGCTGACAAACTTCTACAAAATGAGTTTCTAAGTTCAATCATATTCTTATTTCTAACCCTGGCTGTAGTCCTCTGTCAATCACAATCATTTTGTTTCCTGGTCAGGACCGCTCCCTCCTGTTTCCGTATGGTACATGCCTGACACATGACTGGTGTCTCCTATTTGCCTCTTATGTTTCTGTTAATCTCTGAGTTTACCCATTTCTTTCCTTGATGTTTCTTCTAGCATCTGGGACTCTCCTTACCAAATTGCCCACTTTCATTTTAAAAACCATTCTTGAAACTTTGTCTTCTGGAGTCAGCTGGTGGTGTATTTCTTCTGTGTCTGTCTGTCTGGGTGTCCCTGTATCTTGGCTGGGGACACACTTGGAACCGGACAGTTATGGTACTTACTGCTGCACAGCAAGGGGAGTGCTGGTGCCTGCAGGCTTTGCTGGGTCCACAGAGGGGTCTTGCCTGGGTCTGACAGTCCTTGCTTTGACACCTTCTGGTCACCTCTGCTCCCTTTCACATTCTCTTTAATCTTCCTTGATTTCAGCATGATGCTTCTACAGATGGATTTACTCTTATTTATCCTGCCTGGTATCCTAGTATTTTCTCAAGTCTGGCCATTTCTTAGCTATTTTGGTCCTTAATTATCGCCAGTCTCCTCTGTTGAAATTTGACTCCAACCCCAGTTCTCCCTTCCCTGTGCCCGCTTTCCTTCCTCCCATGCCCGTCTCTCTGGGCTAGAGTCCCTGCCACTCATCTACACGCATTTTCCGTTTCACCAGTGTTCTGATCCCATGTGTCTAGTATCTGATCTGACAAGTCTTAAATTTCAGTGAGAATATTTTCATTTCTAAACGTTCATTTGGTTCTTTTGTAAGTCACAATCACCTTTATCAATAGTATCTGGTTGCTTTCTCAATCAACCCCAGGCCTTATTTTCCCAACAGCTCTCACATTTATTTTATCTGATGTTCTTAAGGTATCCGTGATCTGGGATTTTTAGGCATCCGTTTACTCTGTGGTTTCTTCTGCCTCCCACTTCTGTCCCCTGGGGTCGCGTAGCCCTGATTGTGAGCTCATATTTGGTGGCATTTTTATCTGTGGGAATCCTTGGGGAGGGCGGGCCTCTAGCAAGAATGTCACGTATTTCTAAGATGAGCCATTGGTACTGCTGACCTATGGCCACACTAACTTAATCCAAGGACCATGTAAATTTGAAGTCCAGATCTGTGTGAGGGCAGGTCTGTGGATGTGTGTTTTCAGGGAGTTATTTCTTGCTACCTGGAGGTTAGCTGGAAGGTTGGTCCCTTTCCACCTTCTCTCTGGGTTTGGAAGTCTTCTGAGACCTCCAGCGACAGGGAGAGTTTTGTGTCCCATAATCCCCTTTTATGCACCCTAGACCCTGTTTGAGTTCCCCTCTGAGGCCATTTAAAAATGCAGCCAGCAGCGAGGGAGGTGTGCAAGCACGCCGGGGTCGGCCACGGGGCTGTCATTGTATCCATCGGGTTAAACTTAACCGGAGGAACTCTGATAATGGTACTTTCAGTGAGTGGGAAACATTAATCTGGTATTCCTATCTTGTCTTATTAGGAAAAAAATAAGATGGACATGATTAGTTACTCACAGGTAAGCAGAAATAGCTACCTTAACGCCTCAGTCCTCAGATTAATTACACTGCACACATCAAAGCTTACACCTCGAACTGGCTGGGGAGTACTTTAATCTGTTCTCTTTATATGACTGTCTTGTCCAATGTCTACCTAACTTACATGGTTTAAGCAACACAGAATGACAGTTTGCACAGGGAAGTCATGTGGGAATCACCATTCATTCCGGACGGCATCACAGTTGCAGTGATACTGAGAATCAAGGCAGTTCCCCTGGAATCCACAAGCACATTTTTGAGCACCAGGCAGAGAACCTCCCCAGTAAGTGTGTGTCTCATTGGTTCTTCCAACCCACCAGCTCACTGGGGTTCCATCTGAAAGACAAGTATGAGAAAGGTGACACCTACTTTGCCCCCACTGCCTGCCTCCCCAGCATAGTCCTTCACTCCCCTCTGTCTAAAACACAGATGAGCAGAGGTTAACTCCACAACAGGGTCCTTTCAAAGAGGACTTCCAAAGGTTGAAGACATATTTCCACGTCTAGACTTACGTTCTCACCATATGTTTTACTTTTATTAGAAAACAAGCAAGTCGTCCCTAACTCATTCAGGCGTGATATCTACACATTTCTCCTGAGGACTCCAAAAGAACTGTCGTTTAAAAAAAAATAAATGAACGAAAACCAGAGTAATTTGTACACTGCATCCAAAAGCTGTTCGAGAGCCTAAAATGCCATTGAAAGATGTAATATGGGACAAAATACGGATTTCTTATCTATTGGACGAAAACACTGGTACTCTCCTGTCATGTCTTCCAAGTCTGCTGGAGGAATGAGCTTCTTGTACTGACACGTTGGCTTTGTATCTGGAAACCATAGACATGGCCTAACAAGCCTCCCTCATGCCCGAGGTGGGTCCTGGGCTCTGGACAACTGAGGCCAGTCTATCTCAACACTCAAATGCTCCAACAGGGCCAGAAGCCACCTCAGCTCTGCTGGGCTGTGTCCTCTGCTGAGGCCCCAGGACAGAAGTGCAGGGTGAAGGTGACAGGGAAGGAGGGCCCTCAGGAGGGTGGAGGGGAAGAGTGCCTCATAAACAGAGTCAAAGCAGGAGAAATGGAAGGGACCTCCATCAGCCGCCCACAATGATGCCTGTCCGTTTCAGCATGCTCCCTCCCTCAAACGCTCATCAGGTTGTCCCCACCCGGCCCCCACTGGGAGTCTGGAACACATCCCACCTTCTCCCTAAGTTACAGCCACCACCGCTCGTTACTCCCTTTCGATGAGCCTTCACCTGCTGCCCACAGCCTCCCAGCGGGTGCACACGGGCCACACTCATTACCGCCCACTGCCGGCCGCTGGGTGAGAGGTGCGCCAAGAAATCAATGTCGGCAATGTTTGTTTTTCCCCTCAGCGTGTTGAAACTTATCTGTGGGGGGTGGAAGACCTTTTCCACTCAACAGATGTTTTTTAAAACACCATTTTAAACACAGGATTATTCAACATCCTTTTCTTGGATGGAGGAGCAAAGAAATCATTGCCCACAGATGCACGATTGTTTGTTTACATCCGAATCTCTCATTTCCTCTATCAAGTAAGAACCAGCAAGTGTTGTTCAAGGTACAGAATGCATTTGGCTCCATTCAAGTTTCTTGGAGCAATGCAGAGAATTTGCAGAAGGATCATTAAGAGCAAGGCGAAGAGGAAGAGGGGGAAGGGAAGGGAGCAGGGCTCCCCTCACCTCTGGCACCCGAGCCCCTGGCTGGCTGTCCTCCGCTCCGGCCACAAGGGCAATCCTCAGGGACCTTAACGCTCACGGCATGGAGACCAAACAGTCTCCTGGGATCAGCACTTGCCGTCCTCGAGCTCCCTCTTAGGCCCCCAGAACCGCAGCCCCCGAAACCATCTGCAGCACAGAGACCTACCAGCCGCTGCAGGCAAAGGCCACGGGACCCTAACACGAGCTGAGGCCCACTGCTCCCGGCAACCCTCCCGGAAAACCACAGGAGCCAGGGCTCCGCCTTCTCTCCTCTCGCGATAAACCCCGGGGACCTGATAACAACTGAGGACTTGAACACGGGAATTCTTGGGGGGAAAACTCGGTTCTGACTGACATTCCCATTCCCAGTCCGTTCCATGACACTCCGAAGCTCCTGGCAGCCGCCTAGGGTGGTTTCCCACCATATAACCTTCCACTGAGGGCTCCCAGGGAAGGCTCCTTGCACCCATTCGTGTCCTGGATGACACTGTGAAGCAGTGCGACCCTTTTCAGGTGTGTCCGGGACAGTGTTTAGGCCTCGCCTGCACCGTAATGAAGGGCTGCTGGGATCACGGGCGGGACCGCGTCCCTCTAAACGAGGTTTGTGCGAGTTCTCCAGCAGCAGCCCACGCAAGTGCAGCCTCCAGCCTGTGTAGTTACGAAGTCCCTCATTCGGTCTCCACCCAACCCCAGTTAAAGCCTCGGCTTGGTCGCAGCAGTGACTGCATTATTTACTGCTGTGGGAGGGAGCACAGCTGAGGAATCCCTTGCGAATCAGGTAGGGAGAGGCCCGCCCTCCGCGTGGGGATTCTCTACTGACCCGGGCCGTGTGTCTGGGCTGTGGCACAGACCACACACCAGCGCGCATGAGTTTGCCCCCAGATTCAAGGGGGTTTTGCTTTCCGACCCTGCTAGCGGCTGGCGTCTACACCGCTCTGCCTTCGCCTCTTTCCCGCTCCAGCAGCCCAAGCCGCCCTGAGCTCCTCCCCCGGAGGCTGCTTTCTCTGCCCCCGGGAGCAAGCCGGTTTAGCTCGCTCATGTGCTTGGCGGGAACCCAGTCACAACAAGCACTAAGCCCCCAGCACCAACTACACATCCACACGCTGCAGCGAGGCCAACGAACAGCATTTGCTTCACGCGTTTCATCGCCGTTGCGCAGTTCGGTTCCGGCGAGGTCAGTGTCTGGGCGCGAAAGTCTTGGGGAGATGAACCCCCGGGCTGCAGAGCGGCAGGCTCGGACCCTGAGCTCAGAGGACCCTGACGACCGTTCTGACAAAGTGAGGTATTTCAAAGGAAGAAAATCCAAAACCAAAAATGGAATCTTCAAGAACAGAAGCGCTATGAGGAAGGAGCCGCTAGCCGGTGTGCCACGTGAGAGGAGCTGCGTGACACCGACTTGGCTCCCTATTAGTAATGACCGAGAGACTAATCCCACTCAGCCCGTGATGACGAATTTCCAGACAACTGAGCCCGCGTGCTGTCCCCATCTGTCTAAGACCGGACATTTCGGAGGCGTGGCCGCCCTTCATGGTGGCTGAGCACCTGGCGTCCCACGGCCTCGTGAGGGGCTTTCGTTGATCCGTCGCCCACTTGAGTCGGGAAGAGACTTCCCAGCTCCTTCTCCGCTCTGAGCGAGGAGCCACACACGGACCTTGCTCTTCGCTCCGAGGAAAAGCATCTCTGTAACGTCACGATCGCGACACGGGCACCTGGGTCCGGCCCCTGCCACCGGCAGGCACGGCAGCCCGCGATGGCGAGGGACTCCCACAACTCACCGTGGCCAGCTGAAAGCCTCGACTTCTTGCAGTGCAGGACCAGCTCCTGTCGGCAGTCGTCCGCACCGTCCATGATGGCTTGGAGCTGGTCCGGGCTGGCCGTGTACTTGAAAAACACGGGCTGGGGGCCTTCTCCGTTTGAGCTTTTGACTTTGGCCAGCTGGGAGCCATTGTGCTGTACCGAGGTCCAGGTGGTGTCCTCTGGGCAGAAACAGGGTTGGGAGGGAGACAGGGACTGTGACTAGGTTGGAGCAGTTAAACATAATGTGAAAGTCGGAAGCCTCCTTTATCTGAATTAGGGTTTTAATGTTTGTAGCGATCAGGTCTCTTTGGCGTTGGAGTCAGCATAAGGGACACTGTTAAACGTTAGGAATAGGGACTCTCTTTACTGGAATTCGTCTTACCCTGAATGCAGCCAACATTGTCAGGGGGCCAATTCTTAAAATTCTGTGTTATAATATTCAAAGTTATAAATAAAACATTTTGTCCCTTAATTTATGTCTTTCCATTACTGTAAGAAGCAGCTAAGTTGTTACTGTGTGTGTATACACCCTTACATCAATATACGTATCACTCTTCACTGGACTGAGCGTTTTTCCTCTGGTAATCAAAGAAACGCACAAGAGACACATGGGGGGATAAGCAGCTCACGTGATCATGCAAGACGGTAGGAAGTCAGGATGTTTGACAAAAACTGACTGACCGTGTGTCAGCATCTCGTTCAGTGCCCAGCCCCAAACCAGCGCCCGCTGGAGTCGCTAATATAACCATTCCTGTCAGGAACAACTGCGGGAGGCCGCAATAAGGCTTGAGACGAGGACCAAATGAGGCCCTGACTTGTGCCTCCTTTCAAGTCTGAATAACCTAACCAAAGGTTTAGGACGGGAAAGTCGAGTAGCACTGAGAAAGGGTCTGTGCGCTCGCCTACGGGACTTCCCACACGGTTGCTAAACAAATGAGAACAATTCGGTTGGGGTCATAATTTCATGACTGGTCCTTGCTGCCCTAGTACAGCCCATAAATTACTTTCAGGTTTGCTGTATCAATAGAGAACAACTGTACTGGCATCCGCCATTTGGCATCACGAGGTCTGCTTACAGTCAATGGTGAAACTTACTATGGGAACTCCTGGTTGTTTAACTAGACACAGGTGTATTGCTTCTCCTATGGTAATATCACTATATATATGGCCTTAATGCTTTGAATAAACTTAGCACTGTTGGACATCCTCCTCAGTGCTCCTCCTGCCCCCATCTCTCTGCTTCTCGAGTTCTTTTCTTCATCCTCTTACCCTCACGTTCCTGGTCGATTTGTCGCACCGGCCATGACAAACAACACACTAATGTCTGCTGGCAAATTCTGACCTGTTTCTGTTCCATTGATTACCCATATTTTTAAAAGAGATTTTAAAACAATGGATGAGCACTCCACGGTGTTTCAAACAGAAGAGGAAGATCTCCCTTTCTTCTACCTTCCCCCAAAACCTAGCTCCTCCCACAGTGTAAAAGG